GCGATAATCCTAATGCGGCGCCTCGCGCGCGCGCATCGAGTTTTTGCGCTGCGACATTAAAGAGGGAACAGCATTAACCAAAACTCGACCTGAATTCCTTCAAATGCTTGTCTCTGCACGCGACATAAATCTCCTCGCGCGCAACGGATAACGGTGTATCTTTCCGGGATATTGCGCGTGCGTTTTGTGTTAGCATAAACGCGCTTACATTCGAGTTCATCGCACGGACGTATCGTTATTCTTCTCGGTCCTTACGCTTCGAGGAGCGCGCGATATGAAAGCGCATGTGGAACTTCGCAAATCGTGCCATTCAGATAAGCTCGTTCTGTTTAGAAAAGAAAACAAGAGAGAGAAAGACAGAGAGAGAGAGAGAGAGAGAGAGAGAGAGAGAGAAATGTAAAGGTCGACCTCCGGTTGACCGAGTACTTCTGAAAATCTCGTGGCGCCGTTTTAAGGTCACCTTATGTATCTTGAACGCTACGGTTCCTACATCTTCCAGCTAACGGATCGCAAGCACGAGAACTTCGTCGTTAACACGGTTCGCTTGGCTAATGAAGAAATAGGGCGTGCCAAACGAACAGCAGAGAGAAAGAGAGAGAGAGAGAGAGAGAGAGAGAGAGAGAGAGAGAGAGAGAGAGAGAGAGAGAAAAGTAGAGCGAGCGAGCGAGAGAGAGAGAGGGACGTGTTACACAGCGAACTCTCTCTTGGCGCGTCTTCTCTCAGCTGTGAATTCTTCGAGCAACCTAAATTTTTTCTCGCCAAAAATTTAGATCTCAGAGAGCGAGGGACGTCGTCTCTTGGCAGATTCCCTCCGCTTTTCGCGACATCAGATATCTCACGGTATAATCGAGCTACGAGTTCGCTAACAATATTAACGTTCGTTCGAGATGTCTGGAAATGTCATCGCCAATGGAAGTTCAGATGATTTTTTTAAGAAGCTCTTTCACGGCTTGCGACACAATTATCGATAGCTGGCTACTGTCGCGCGACGAATCGATCGGAAGCTGGTCGGAGAGAGCGTCCGAGAAGAAAGCGAGCTTCGCCTCGAGGCACCGCTGTAACGCGCATAGGTCACAGATGATGCTCCTTCGCCTGTCGGCTTCTTCGGCGTCTCGAGACATCTCCAGTCGCAAGTCTCGCGACCTGAGGCTTCCTTTGAGACACGAGGAACCGGAAACATCGGCTTATCCCCGCGCTTCGTCGTTCCAATAGACGAGCGAGATATCGCGGCGGACAGGATTTTAGCCGAGGACGATTGTTCGAATTCACACGCGCCGATGATTCCTCGTCGTCGCCTCGTCGCGCGCGAAATTCGAGCCGTCGCGATCGGCAACGGGAGAGACGCACTCGACAGAGAGAGAGAGAGAGAGAGAGAGAGAGAGAGTCCCGGACGCCGACTATAAATACGCGCACTGCGGGTGAGTTTATCGTTCGTTTTACTTTCGGCGAGAACCGGAGATTCGAGTTCGACGGTGCGCGTCGCGCGGAATTGCGAGCGTGTCGCGTCGCGTCGCGTCGCACCGCGCCGCGGCGTGCGAATTCCTCGTCTTGTCGTCGGTATGCCGTCACGGTGCAACTGGATGAAATTAATGCGCGCCGGAAGCCCGAACGAATGGAACGTTTCATCGAGTCAGGGAGATGCACGAAACGGTGTTTTGCGTCGGCAACAAGAAAAAAAAGAAAGGAACGACGTGCAGGGGTGCAGGAAGGAAGGGAGGAAGGAATAACCGCTCAGGAACAACGAGTGGAACATTGTCTCGTAGTGGGAACTCGCGGGAACGGCGAGTGAGCGAGCGAGAAATAAAGAGAGAGAGGGAGAGAGAGAGAGAGACGAGGCAAGAGAGGATCCTTATTATCCGTAATGAATTCAAAGCGCGGAGAAGTTTCCCGCTCGCGGGGGAGCGAGCGGCCGATAATTCAAGAGGCATTCGGCGAACAACGGCAAATCGAGTTTGTACTTTGTAAGATCCACCATGGAGACCAGCGAGCTCGCGCGGTGAAAAAAGCCGCACCCGCACGCTCGTGCAAATTACAGTTTCGCGCGAGCGAATCAACCCTTCTCCAGCCTGCCTTCGTCGAGGCTTCTCTCTCGTTGAGGCTTGCCTTTCTTCTTCTTCTTCCTCTCAACCGTTATATTCTTGCGAGGGTCCCCGTGCGAGAGTCGAAGTGCATCATCATCACCGTTGACGCTCAGCCGGCGCGCGCGCGCGCGCGATTTCCGCCCGGAAGCGCTCGCGCGAGACGGGGGAACGAATGGCGCTTATATAGCCGTCGCGAGGTATTCGCGTCTCCGCGCGCGCTCGCTCGAGGATCATGGGAAATCAGGGTAAACGGGCGCTCGCAGACGGGAAATCGAATGGTACGTCTCGAGCGGCGTAGAATTCACGGCGTATGCGCCGGGCTGCATCCCGCAGCACAGCTATCGCCTCGCGCATAAGCGGACCGATGGGAATGTCAACATGCCGGCGTGCATGGGTCGCGGTAGATACTGTGAGACGCGGCTCCCGGCTTGGAGTACACGCGGCGCTCGACACATTAGAGACGATAATGGCCGCGAGGATGACAGATGACGGCACCTACAGTAGAATTTATTGCATAATCTACGGCTAAGTCGTCCGAGAATGGTACACGCGCGATACACGCGGCCTCCTGCGCAGGCCCGCGCCGGGGAGGTAGCCGAGATTATAAACGCAAGAGAGACGAACGCGAGAAACGGGAGAAACGAGATGATCCGGGGGCTTGAGGAAGGGAGAAGGAGAGAGACAAAAGGAGCAGGAGACAGGAAGAATAGAATTACGAGAGACGAAGCGACGACGGGAGAAGCGAAGGTGGGAGAAGGGATGGAGGAGACGGGAAAATCGATTTATCGCGGAACGAATCCTTCTAGGCGCCGCGTACCGTTATTACGGCGAGGAAACGAGCGCTGTAAACAATAATTCGAATTAAGAGAAATAAACCGAAGTGGACTAAAAATTGCTAGGTACAAAGGACAAAAGGAGACAAGGGAGAAAAGGGCCCCAGTCGCCGACTCTGGTTAACGCTGAAGAAGTGAGCGGCGCAACGTGAGCGAAGAAAGAAAGAGAGAGGCAGAGAGAGAGAGAGAAAGAGAGAGGCAGAGAGAGAGAGAGAGAGAGAGAGAGAGAGAGAGGCAGAGAGAGAGAGAGAGAACTATAGCTAATTTAATTGTTCGTTTATTCTAAGCTTTGATCAAGTTAAGTCGAAATCACAATGCAATCGCGTTTGGTCTCAGTGCGAAGTTCACTTTCCGTAAGGCAGAGATTAAACCGGAAAGAAGAACGCGGGACTCTCGTCGGGCAGCGGGGAGGGCTTTTAATTTGAACGTGGAGCTCGCATTTTTGCGCGGCTTGTTATTAAAACGAACGCGTTGCCGGTAATCCCAGCCTCGAATTACGCGTCGAAACAAACGGCAGTCGATTCGTTCGCGAGTCACCAAGTATTCATTCGCGTTACAATCACCTGGCGTAAGAACTAAATAACGACCCAACCGTTTTCAAAAGAGCGTTTTCGCCTCCCTTCCCCGACATGACGAACAACTTATACTCGTTACAAAATAATTGCAGCGGTTGTCGGTGAACGCTGGTGGTCGTTTTCAAAGTCGCTCACACGTTCGATCGTTCGTACGTTTGTTCCTTCGTTCATTCATTATTCGAGTAGGAAATGCGGGATGTAATTGGGATCTCGTTCGATTTCCCGAGATCTACGGAGGTCCTGGTTAAAAATGCGATGTCTCAAACACATTTCGCTCGCGATTTCACAAGTGCAAAAAGAAAACGTAGAGTTTCCCATGTATTTTTTCTGATTTCCATTTTACATTAGAATTTTATCCTTTCCCATTTCTATTCTACTGAATTGAACTCTACGAGTTGGTGTAAAAATGGCATTTCCAATCGGTATTGCAATCGGATAACCAATTTCTCGGCGAATTTTAGAATTCTAATCGGAATCTATGCTGCACTCGAGGAAATTTCCACGGTTATCACCGAATGTTAATTTTCGCTGGAAAAGGGACACGGAAGCGGCCGGCGGAGAGTTCGCGGCGGGAAATGACGTTTAAATCGATCGGATCTCGCGTCGACGAGAGATGCTAATCGCAGGGCGACGCTCCCTCGTCGCGGATACGTCTGTATTAACGATATCGTTGGATAGACGAGGGCGATTCGCGATAAGAATCGACGTTATTAAGGCGGTCTTATCGGCGTACTTGTACGTGACGTATTCGCAAGTTCGTGCGGTGACCTTTCTCGATCGATCAGCCTTGCAAACTACACGCGCTCTTGTTCGCGAGGATCGCGGCGATCTCATCGCGCAAATTACATCAATCATATGCGTGTGCGTGCGCGCATAATAAATTCGCGACGCGAATTTCGAGATGATCGTCGATTATTTGTTTATCGTCGACGAGCGCGACGAACTTTACTCGTAAGGAAAGGTCGCCCAATCGAAAAGGAAGTCGATTAGGGAAGTCTTCACCGTGAAGATGTTTTTAGTTCAAATAAATGCTCTCATGTTGCTTTCTGACCGCTCGCTTTTGCATGAACCTTCCGTTAGTCGTAAAATGTAGAAAATTGGCAAACTCGACAGATATAAAATTAATCAAGCCGAATAAGATAAATAATGGTGAAATTTCACGATTGCGATGGCGCAATTTTGATCAAATTTTAACATTATACACTACTCGAAGCAGGAGTTATATTGATTGAATCGCAGCAAATAATTCCATATCTTGATCTTAATATAATAATAAACTAAAGCATTTATATCTGTATCCTCTAATGATTCAGAGTAAATATAAAAGAGAGAAATATATATTATATCTTAAAGATTCTGTTGTGTAATATTGCGGTCATTGAAAGACACGATCTCCTGATTATTTCGAGCAATGTGTGAAAAAAAGTATAATTAAATCGCATTTTCTCGAGATTTTCTCGAGATATTGCAAACATCCATCACCATAAAATGTCTTTTTTTCTCTGACTCACCGATACACAGCAGACAGAGTCAGCCGCGTTCTGTTGCGGATCTGTAACAAAAAATGTAGTTTCGTTAGTTAAACCGTTAGGTCAAAAGTTAGATTGGGTTGAGTTCAGTTCGCGGAAGCGCGCGCGCAAATGCAAACGTTGACCCTTTGCCGTTGAAATTCAACGGCTTTTATTCGAATCGTTCGGTTTTCGATCGCAATGAATCAAGAAGAAGTATATAAACAATCAGTGAACCTCACCTCCAAGCTGACTCCGCTAGGCCTGAACCGGATCCTCCGGTGCGGCATCGGCGTCCGTCGAAACTGCGTCCCGGTAACCGCAGCTATCGCGTGGCCGCAAACTCTAGCAGATCTGTGTAACAAACAGCGAGTTTCTTCATTAGTATTACAGCGATAAATGCGCCCCGCATCAAAAGTACGAAGACTCGAGACTACAAATTAGCATCTTCAACTTAACCAAGTTAACCAATAAAAGTTTACCTTTAAAGACCATGAAACATTGCTATTGCTCAAGATGCTCTGGATCGTCACGCACATATACACACACGCACGCACGCACGCACACACACGCACGCACGAACACTATGATCGAGCGTGAAAATTCGGAAATAATTACGCGCGGTGATCCGCCGATCCGTCCGCCGCCGCGGCGTAAACAATAATGGAAGCAGTCGCGGTAGTTGCATACTTATGAACATGTTGTTTTCAAAGTCGCGCGACCTTATCTCGCCGGGACGCGTCTCAGAAAGCCCGTAACGTTGTACAAAACTTACCTTTGTAAACAGAAAGGTAAAGAGAGGCGCCAAAATACACGCGCAACGCGTATTGTGTTATTTTTAAAAATTTCAGATTACTTTTTTTTCAAGTTATATATGCAACATAAAATTTTACAAGTAAAACTTATAACTGTAATAAAACTCTACAACACTGTTCTACTTTACAGAAGAAATGATATAACGTCAACTGAGAAACCTAACATATATATATGATTATAATATAATTAATTCTTTATTCAAGATAAACGGCAATGTTTATGCTTTTAGTACTGTGCATCGTACCGCACCTGAGCATGTATCTTTGGGCAATGTAATTTATTATTTTCGTTATACAAGTAATAAGTTTGTACAAGTAAAACTTATACCTCTAACAATAAATTCTTCTATTGAATACTATAAATAAAACTCTACAAAACTGTTCTACAAGAAAATGATATAACAAAACAATAGCATCAACTGAAAAACTCTACTCTACTCAACTCTGCAAATGAGATTTGCAGTCTGAAGATAAATCTGAAGGTAAATCGAAAACTCCCAATGATACAGAGCTCGATACTTCAAAAACAGTGTCTTCATTATTTATTAGAACACTGAGTTTATGGTTATTTTACTTGTTATTACAATATTGTACTTTTTATTACAATATTTACTTGTTGTTACAATAAATTAGTTATTATAACAATACAATAAAAAATATTTAATGCAAAATATCTTGGCTTCTCTCTCTCTCTCTCTCTCTCTCTCTCTCTCTCTCTCTCTCTCTCTCTCTCTCTCGCTCTCGCTCTCGCTCTCTTTTTCTTACTCGCACATTTTTACTTCTGTATTCTAGCAATATTTCTCTGTCTCTTACTCTCTATCGCTTGCTCACTCGCTGCTTCTTCAGCGCGCTTGTAACGCCTCTGATGCCGGAAAAGTGAGATGCACAAATCCCCTCTCCTCTAGCGTTTCTTACTTTCTTATTTCTTACTAAATCGAAATTTTCCGTGATCGGACTTTATCTTAAAATATCTACACTTAGAGACGTACACAAAAAACACAAGGACACTTTTTACCTATTTTTTAAGGCCGAATCGATTGGGACTGAAAAAACCTCGATCGGTTTAGCCATTGCTGAGATATGAATATCTCACCTCGTTTCAACTCTAGTTTCGCATAATATACGCACGGTGTGCCTCTTGATATCCAATAGATACCTTCAGGCTACAATCTATCGCCGTTGCTGTATGGTCTTAAAATTTTTTATCCACCTTAAAGCTTGCCAATTTGTTTTCCACTGTTTTTATAAACTTTATTGACCAAGTGCTAATGAAAGAAAAATCGTTTCAAGAACCAGAGAAAAATAGATGGGAAAATTAGTATATCCGAGAGATATATAACACGACCATTTACGAATGAAAAATATTGCGATTAACGGAAGGTTAAATTTCCAAAAGCATCTGGAATGCTTTCCAGACATTCGCTCGCTGCTTTGCACATTTTATAACCGCTTAAGAAACTGCGAACACTTTTAGTGGCCGCTTGTGTAAGGAGCTTCGCTGAACTCTTCCAACATGCTACGCGAAGATTCGTGTTCGCCTCTCATGAGCGCTCCAAGTGCGGCCGTAATCAACTTCAGCTATGTTAAGCTTGCGACAGACTTTTCCACACAACATTTACCGGACGCTTGTCAAACGCTCGTCGAAAACTTCATTTTCGATTGCATGCGTTCGTCTCGCATAGCAGTATTTCAACGCGATAAGTCGGCGCGATCCGAGCGGATCGAGAGGCATCATTCTATTTTGCAGGGGACAAACTTTTGCGTTTTGCGACCGACCGATTCTTCGCGCGAAGTTACCAAATGACTCCTTCTCTTCCCCTCTCTCTTCCGTTTTTTATAGTCCTCTTTGGAGACGATCGATCTCGTCGAATCATAGCGTCGGCGATTTCAACACGAAATCGGCGCGAAAAATGCGGACGCTCTTTGCTTCTTTCTATTTTTATGCACGCTTATCGCGCGATCAATTCTCGCGGATAAATATAGCGAAAATATAAATCGAACGAGAGATAGATAGATAGAGAGGTAGAGAGAAAGAGAGAGAGAGAAAGAGAGAAAGAGAGAGAGAGAGAGAGAGAGAGAGCCGGCTGGCGATTTTTTACAAATATTACAAATACGTCTTTCACACCATCGATCGCAATTAACATCGAAATGAACGCGCGTGTTTAAGCGAAAACATTTTGACGACGCGCTATCGTTTGTGCGAATATTTTTTTTTCGAATAATATCGCGCCGATCGAAGGTAAAAATAATTCGCGATCACATTGTCGGCTCTGCAACGAATGATGGACGACCGACGAGAAAGTCACAGAGCTCTCCCTCCCCCCTTGTCACTCTCTCTTCTTTTGCGTAAGCAAATTCCAAAAAAAGCTGACTCCGCTTCAAGTCGCTACTCGTATCGGAGTTCTCCTCCGCCACACAACGTACGACCTCGATGTACCAATTATATAAGACGTCCCATTTCTTCCCCGACGACCCCCGTCGAAGTTTCATAATAAAAGTCCCGCGAATAGACTGGCAGTTGTGAATTCCTCTTGCGCGGTATATCGCGGGTGCGGAGGATCCGATCGGAGGAAAGGAAGACAATCCGACGGAGGAGGATCAAAAGTCGTCGAGTGTCTGACGAAGCTTAACGAATCTCCCACGTCGCGTGCGGACGTCGTAAGTAACGCCGGGCGTTTCGCGAACGGCGTCGTTCGCGTCGTCTTCAACGACCGCGTCGTAAACCAGCCGGCGGCTGGCGCCGGAATTGTAGCCGTGTTACGACGCGCGTCTCCGCCACCACGGTCGGCGGGACGTTCCTCAGACGATGTCCTCGCACGTTGTACATATATGCACGAGGGACATTATGCGAGTTTGAAAGTAATACGTAGCCCCGAAACGCGCCGCTCCGCGCAAAGTTTCAAAGGATCTAATAAGCATCCGCCACTGCCAAGTATTCCGCAGCGGCGGCGGCGGCGGCGGCGGCGAAGATGGATGCGAACGCACAAGGAAAACCAGAGGGAAGCTCAATAAATTAAGCCCGACATCGCGCACCCTCTCTTTCGCGTTATGCCGCTGTGCAAAACAACCCGGAACTGCATCGATTAATATTCCCCCGCGGAGCTCGCACTAATTTAGAATAGCTTCCTCTCTCTCTCTCTCTCTCTCTCTCTCTCTCTCTCTCTCTCTCTCTCTCTCTCTCTCTCTCTCTCTCTCTCTCTCTCTCTCTCTCTCTCTCTCTCCCCCCCTCTCGACTTTTCTTTAACAAGAACATAATACGACAATATCGTTTATAACGCGACTCATTATTACATCCCGGAGCTAAATTCAATCCGCGAGGCGCGCGCAGTATTCTGTAATAAATGTAACGGACTCACGGAATTGCGCAAACAACGAGACCCCGTGCGGCGTATTCATTAATTTCAAATGTATATTTTCCACTCGAGTGGAATTCAACATTAGGATTCAGTTATAGGCGCGCGCGCGCGTTTAGCTTCGACAATGGCGACGGGAATATCTCGCGCCGGGAATATCGAGCGAGTTTCCGCTGAGGACAAAACGGTGATCGAAGGATCGCTCTCGGAGAAAGGACGAGGGTTCGCCGATGACTCTCGCCCGAGATCAGTCTGCCACCCCTTCTCTCCCCTACCTCCCGATAGTACACACATGTACACGAGATCGCCGGCGAGAAACACGTAGATGGAAACGTCGATATGCGCCTTGAAGACGTTAAAGAGACAGGGGAGAGAGGGGGGGGGGAGAGGACGGCCGCTCAAAATCGCCGGATTTAAACGAAGCGGCACACGCGAGGCAATCGTCAGGGTGACGCACATACACACGTACGCACACACACATTGTACTCGCGACGCGCGAGAAAATAATTTACGAGGACGAAAGTGGAGCGCCGACGGAATCAATCAATTCTGCGTTATCATCGTCGCTCGTGTGCGACTGCGAACCTCCTAATAAAAAGTAATGTTTGACGTGGATGGGCGCGGGTGTGGTTCGTGGCGCGGCGCGGGGAGGGGGAGGCTTGGGGGAGAGGAGGGGCGGCGAAAGAAAAACAATGGGGCGGAAAGCGACGGGCGGAGAGACGAAGGCGAGAATCGTGGCCGGAGGAAAGTGGCTGGCGCGGAGATAACAGCTTGATAACAGGTTTGTTCATTCGGATAATATACTCACATGGCTCGCGACGGCGAACGGCTCCTCTTTCTCCCTTTCGTTCTCCGACTTGTCCTCTCGCTCTCGTCCCTTCGAATCCCCGCGTGCTGCGTCGCTGTGTGCTTTTCTGAGGAGTTCCTAAAAGAGGGAACAGAAGGTGTAGGGCTCGCCGTGCGAAAACGCGCTTTTATTTCATTCCGACCACTCGGGATTTAATGGAGGTCCTCGCGCGCGCTCCGCGCTGATGGCGCACATATGAGTCGTCCACTTCGAAAATCCATTATCTCCGAAAATTCAAGCTCCCTCGTTCGCTCACTCTCTCTCTCTCTCTCTCTCTCTCTCTCTCTCTCTCTCTCTCTCTCTCTCTCTCTCTCTCTCTCTGTTTGTCGCTATCTCTCTTCCTCTCCCTCTCTCTCGCTGCTGGCCTTCCCCTTTCAAGAGGTGAAAGAACCAGGTGAAATGACTCGAAAGCGAGTTTTTCCGGATTGCTGTCTCTCTTTTTCCCTGCCCCCTCCTCCTCTTATTCGCCGTTTTTTCCGACGTGTTCTGAGCTTTCGCTCTAAAACGTTATACCGTTGAGAGCACTTAATCTTAAAGTACAAGAAAACCTACTTATCTCATATTCCCGAGCATAATTCTGTCTGAGACAGCGATTCTCGGGAACTTTCGCCGGTCGCGTTATATCGTGTCATTATAGAAAGAAACCGTTTCGTCGGGTTGCGGGAGATTATAACAGCCGCACATTGTGTCCGCGATAAAACCGAGATGAGAAAGCCAACTGGTTCCGTTCAAATTACCCCCGAAACCATCATAACTTTCATCGAAAGATCGCGCGAGGTACATTCGACGATACCCAAAGGTGAAGCTACTTTTAAAGAGGCCGACGCAACTCGACATTGATGATCTTTTGCAAAATCGACGCACGAGTCTGCAGCGGGGAGGACGGGGAATGGGGGGTGCGATAATTCGACGTTGAGTCTCCGTGAGAATAGTCGATCTACTTTACTCCGGATAAGCGCGTCGTGAATCAGCTGACTCGCGTAGCACGAATATCTCCGTTAGACCCGAAGACGGTCGGGAACAAGGGACGACGAAGGGACGACGAAGAGAAAGGGGATGAGAGAGAGAAGGATGGCTGCACGTCGGATTTCGGGGGCGGCGCAATGAAATCGGCGCGCACCCGGAAGTGACATATCCGGCTGGTTGCGGTAGGTCAGGCACGTACGTAACCAATATTCAGGGTGTTCATGTGGCATACCAAGGACTTTCCACCACCACGAAGCCGGTGCCACCACGAGTCTCGTCCCACGGGTCGCCATGCGCAACCCTTCAGCATCCGGGCTCGGAGAAACCAGGATTTCGCCTTGGCATGCTCGTCGCTCGCCCCGTCCCTTCATCCGTCCCGTTCTGACCGTCGCGCGCAGCAACCCTTCGATCTACGTACCACCGGTTAACCAACCTCGACCATCTACCTCGGCGATGGAACGATGTCGCCTTGTGTGCGCACACGCTCGCCACCGGCTAGTAAATCTTTCACCGGAGGACCCGTCGGAACGAGTTGCGCATATTTGGACGTTTAATTAATGTGGGAAGAGCAAGCACACGTCGTACGAAACGAAGGAATATATAATATATACAAGGTGCTAAATTTCAAACGTAACAGGTAACAGGGAAATCTCGAAAACTATAAAAGATATTAAAAAAAGCTAAAACACATGTTCCATGATTTCGAAGACGAAAGAGAGTGGTATTGTCAGTTTTTTATTTGGAGGGCATTTTCAAGGTCAGTTGAAGGTCAACTTCATTTTTTAAAATAGAAAGCCCAATTTTTAATTATATCTTCTTTTTCTACCAATTAATTTTAACAACTTTTGTCTGAAACATTTTTTTATTTGCCTATTTTTTGAAATATTTGAGGAAAACTTGGTCGTAACTTTTTCAACATTTATCTCGCTAACTATTCGTCGAAAGGAAAAATAGTATTCGATTTTTTTACTTCATTTACTATCAAGAATATATTACTATAATAGTGCCCTAACTTTTGTTAACTTATCGATCTTTGGAAATTTTAAAATTATTAAATTAACAAAAGTTAGGGCACTATTATAGTAATATATTCTTGATAGTAAATAAAGTAAAAAAGTCTAATACTATTTTTCTTTCGACGAATAGTTAGCGAGATATCGTAAATTAAATGTTGAAAAAGTAACAAATTTTTCCTTAAATATTTAAAAAAATATTAGGCAAATAAAAAAATGTTTCAGACAAAAGTTGTTAAAATTAATTCGTAGAAAAAGAAGATATGATAAAAAATTGGGTTTTCTATTTTAAAAAATTAAGTTGACCTTCAACTGACCTGGAAAATGCTCTCCAAATAAAAAACTGACAATGCCATTCTTTTTTCTCTTCGAAATCATGAAACACATGTTTTAGCTTTTCTTAATATCTTTCATAGTTTTCGAGATTTTTTATCTGTTACGTTTGAAATTTAGCATCCTGTATATATATAGGATGAAGAGAGGAGAGAGGAAATATCGGCTTGGCGATAGAAAGACCTGAGAGTGATTTAACGTAGACAGGACGAAGCCAAGTCCTGCAAAAGTCGCTTTTGCGATCGTGCGATTGTCGGGCTCCGGCATAAATTCGCGAAAGGCAAGCATAACGAGTGCGATGAGCGCTGGACTTTCTCTTTCTCCTCGCGAGCTTCTCGAACCCCGCGGCGCTATTGATTCTTTCGATTTCGCAACTTTCCGCGAAACGAGCGCGGTTTCGCACCGAGAAGCAAAATCGACTACTCATCTCGCCTCGAACGGAGAAGTTTTAATTGGCTCTAGTGGCAAACGTGATTGTTCGACAAATCTGCCGTATCAGCTGACAAATGCCATTAATATGAATTAACGGTAGAGGAAGCAAAAGGAAGGAAAGAGAGCGAGATGCGTTTATTCATAGTCCGGAATTTTCGATTTAATTTCCGAAACACAGGATTGTATCGGACAGCGTAAACAGCGTTTACAAAAACACAATCATACCGTGACCAATAGAATAGAATAATGAAAAACCGGAAGAGAATTTATGCGTCCGCGTTGCGAGCTCCGTTACAAGGATAAACGAGAAACAAAAGAAATGACAAATTGGGGAAAAATCAAGCAAGAGCTAAATAGACTCGCCAGAAAAAGAAAAAGAAAAACAAAAAAGACAATTAATAAAGAAGAAAATAAATTCTGTAAATTTCGCACTTTATCGGATTCGTAAAATGCGTGCGATGCGATTGACCGCAGTTAATTTTTTCGGCAGAAGTAGAGTTATATACTGCAGCAAAATCCGGCGATCGAGAGAGGAAAACGCGCCGGAAGAAAGGAATCACGTCCGAAGGGGATACGCATCTATCGAGAGTTTCGCAGCTTTCCGCGCACCGAAAGACGAGTGGAGAAGAGACCGAGTAAAAGGGACAGGGGGGAGGAGGAGAGGTAGAGAGCCGGTCTACAAGCGAGAATGTCTTACGTACGTGCAATAAAGTGGGATCGTCTTGCGCAACCACCACCCCCCGTGGCCTATTCCTCGAGAAGGATTAAAAGGATTCTTACGTCATTCCTGCGCCCTTACTCGAATGAGCAACGACTGAAAAGCCCTCCCCCCTCTCGCTCGCTCAGCCGCGCATACGAGCAATCACGAGCCCGCGCCTCCACACGGACACCCGCCCACAACGAAGCAGCGACCGAGCTTTTGTTCCCCTTTTGCTTTTAAGTTTGCCGATGAAGTTGAAGAATACAGATGAAACCGAGCTCCCGCTGGCTATATACGCGTGACATTTCGAGGAATAAGAACAGGAGAGGAAGACAGGGCGAAAAGAGAATGGGACAGAATGGAAGCGAGACAGACAGAGAAGAAAAGAAGGTAGGGTAGTGGCGAGATGAGAGAAGAAATCGAGAAGAGACAAACATACCGAAGAAAGATGAGCGCGAGTCGAGTCGCGGTCGCGAGGAAGACAGAGATAGAGACAGCGAGGGAGAAAGAGAGAGAGAGAGAGAGAGAGAGAGAGAGAGAGAGAGAGAGAGAGGGAGAGAAAGAGAGAGAGAGAGAGAGAGAGAGAGAGAGCCAGGTAGACAGAGAACGAGAGAACGAGAGAGGAACCATGAGAGCAGAAGGGCAAGCACAAGCGGAAGAAAGAGCAGAATCTCGGAGCTGACGGAACGGACGCGGTTGTGCCATGAATGAAATGAGTCTCGGACGACCGTCGACGAAAGCCAAGTGCATTCACTGCAGCCGGTTGCGGTTGACTGGCGGCGCGAAGGAAAACCCCGGGACGTGCCCGCGAAAAGCGTAAATCCCGGTCGCTTGTACTTGCGATTTACATCGGTCTCGAGAGGGAGAGAGAGAGAGGGAGAGAGAGAGAGGGAGAGAGAGAGAGAGAGAGGGATGAGAGGGGGAAGAAAGAGAAGATCGACGGTAATATCACTGTGTACGTCGATGTCGTGTTGCAGCAACCATCGAGACGATGCAACGAAGCGATGCAACAGCAATGCAACTGGGAAGCGAAAGCGAGAAACATGGACCCGACACCCGTCGGCGACTGATTGTCGTAGGATATATCGAGCTCCGATGAAGGAATATTAATACGTTGGTTGGTTACCACGTGCTGGTGATCGCCACACCATTACTGGTCACCGTTATTGATAATATTACGTGTCTTGCTTCAATTTGCGTTTAAGGCGAAAGTGTCTTTATGATTAGATAGATGGCCGATGAAGAGAACGAAATAAACAGAAGAACATATATACAGCGAGTTGTATTTATTCACCGCATCTTTGATGGTTTAAACATGAATTGCGTATTGAAATAATCAGTGTGGCAGTCAACGTGTTACGCAATGTGTGTGTGTATGTAAAATTATGTAACAATATTGCATAAACTTTCGCGGGCGTCTCCTCTGGAACGCTCTTCGAGCACTTTAGTAGCGTCCAGAACGTAACGACGACGAAGTGTCAACGGCAAGTATAAGTCGGTGTCCACGATGAGGGATGGACGGACGACGCGGTGGAGACGGAGGGAGTGACATTTCGAATAATTGACGAGCTGAGCTTTAAATAAGCGGTTACGCGTAGTGGCTACGCGAAGACCCGCTAAAAATAGCCGCCCTT